TTATAAATAATAGAAAAAAATGGTTCAGGACTTTTCGACTCAGTTTTACTCCTTCTACCTGCTTACGAGCGATTGTACGGCAATTCTGGGACACCCTGTATATATGTTTTTTTACAATGATTAGGTCGCCAGTTTCAACGCCATACATTTACAAAAGTGGAACTACAAAGCGACATCTACTTTCACGCGTAAACGGTAAAAACGTCACTCGGTTTGAGTCTGTACTACATCCGCTTTCTGACTTTATGAATGAAGATTTGTTATGAAGTTGTCTGACCCAGAGGCGGACCATTACCTTTGTGGGCCTTGGACTAACACTGTTTACCTATGCCATGGAATTATTTTTAGTGCAAAAAGAAAGAAGGTAGTTTTTGCCGTTTATTTTTGACCGCAAAAGGGCCCTACCCATTTAATTGTGCCAGTACTTGGAATTATTTTTATTGCAAAAAAACGGTTGGTTTTGCCGGTTATTTTTGACCACAAAGAAGTTCTTTGATTGAACGGGGCTCCGGGCTGTAGCCCATAAAGACCATGCTTAAATCCTCTGGTCTGACCGTATACAAATCTTTATATATATACTGTAGCATAAATAAAAGTGACTTACTCTTTGAATAATAAAGGATATATTTTAAACCAATCAACCATTAAAAGTAGATAATACATTAGTGTGTATATAATATATATTAGCAAATACATTGCTCAATAATTATAGTTATGACATAAGAATTATATGTAAAGTGAACTTGTTTTATAATTTGTATAAAAATAATAGAATTTTATAAAAAAGATGTATAATATATCATATGTGTTAATAAATATTCACAATCTCTCAAACTTCTTTATTCTTATCTTCCGCATTCTTGAACATTTCCTCTGTAATCTTATTGTAGTTATCTATTGGAGAGAGAAAAACCAAAAATAAAGTGGGAATCCGATCCCGACTTGTCAAAGACAGAAGAGTCCGTACATTATTAAATAGTTATTTGTCGTTATCGCGACTAGTCCAACATGACTACGCTCTAGCACCAATCTACCAATCTATCTACCTATAATAAATATATCATGTTGCGATAATATCCTGTAGAAAAATCTACTCTCTCTGTAATTTAATATAATATATATTAAATCTCCTATGATCAGCTTCAAATAGTTCTGTAAAGTTCTGTAAAGTTTATAAAATTAATGAGATTTTGTTATAAAAGTATATGTATATATATAATATATATAGCACGTAACATTGTAGAGGCATTTATTATATTATAGTCAAAAAAAACTATATTTATATTACTTTCAACAATATTTTGTCAGATCTCTTCAAGGACAAGTTTACATAACGACTAGCTAAAAATCACGATAATATCAGATTAGTGCAATATAATTTATCGTCTCCATTAGATCATTTTATGTAAAAAAAAAAAAAGTTTCTTTCAGTAACAAAGATAAACTGTACCGAAATCATAACAAATGCTATTATAATTAATATGTAATTGATAATTCTATTTCTCTAGTCTGTAACTAATAAAGATCTCGTAAAAACTATAACTATTATATTTAAAGACGACAAATTTGTTGCACTGATCTGTCAGTTAAAAAGTCTAATAATATCCGCAAATTTTAACTTCTTAATAATTATCAGACAGCAGCAGGACTGATACGTGGAGCTGTATCGGCAGGCGAGACGGGGCTCCCGTGAACTTCTAAATCGAACTCAGAAGTCGATAAAGAATTTCTCATGACTCTGTTCCACCTGCCGCTGCTTTCATTGGCAACTACGTATGTTTGTGTGACTCTCGGTTCTACACTATCAACCTGAGGTCTTTCGCAAGCCCGTAGCGCCTCTTGATGTATTATAATTTCATTAGTAATGTATGCTTCGCGGCGTATCTTGTCACGTAATTTTGGACTCATATCAGGAATGCACCATTGTACGAAGATCATTACAAGTGCTACGACATTCTACAAAATTTACAAACAATACTGCAATATACTAATGATATGATACTGCAATATACTAAATTATACATGTGACTTATACAAAATGTTTTACAAAAAAGCCAGCGTGAAGATATGTTCTAAGCATTGTTTAATAAATGAAGCATATGTTTGATTAATGAGAAAAAAAACGTACCTCGAAAACGACGACAAAAGCTAATCTAGCCGCTAGTACATGCCAGAACATGATGGTATACTCGTACTTGTTTGATGACTCTGGTGGCTCTCTATAATCTGGATAGCGGCAAATCTTGACTTCAACTTGACCCACTTTTGGCTGAGTGCCATTTTTCAGATCGCTAGTGTCGAATTTTGACAAAGACTGTTCTAGAAAACCCTCCAATGAGTAATTGTCGGAGACTGTTATACGATAAACTAGTCTTGGTATAAAGTTTGAAGTAAAAGCTATGATGAATGCCTGAAAAAATGTAGAAGTGTAATAAAGTTGTGAGAGACATCTTATATTTAATTTCTAGCGTGCTTCAGAGTTGAATCTGTGATTTGGAAATAATTATACTTGAGTCTTTGATTGACTTTTGATTGTCTAAATGAAACTTACGTTGGTGATAACAGATAATTTTGAAATGGAATCGAGAATGCGATACCATATGCCTATGTCTCTAACACGCTGTCCAACTGGTCTTCTGTATAAAGTTAGCAACTTCTTTGCGTCCAGTCTCATCTCGAAAACATTATTAAGCAATGCGAAAAATGGTGCTAGTGGGAAGGCAGCTACGAAAATCGTGACAAATCCATATTGTAGCACTGCAAAAAAATAAAAATGTTATCCTCTATACTCTGTTTACTTCATATCATTCGCACATCTCGCTTTTTACCCATTTCTAAATATTCGGGGAAGAGGCTTCTAGGTCCCCATTGGACCAATTTGTAATCTCTCAGCCATTGCAAAAACTTTCTGGACGAGTATCTTCTCTCGTGATCTTTCAACTTTTTCGCGCCAACGTGAACTCTTAACGTATTCATCCATTTATAAAATAACGGAAAAAGCATTTCTAAGATAGTGTTCATTGCTTGTTTGCCGATCATAATTATACTCAGCTGAATGCACAATTCTAAGAGACAACCGCCCGGTCCGCATTCCTCTTGTCGAAAATCGAAAAACCGATTATAATTTCCCGGATAGCCAACAAATTTCCCTTTGAAAAATGCGATATAAAATATGGACGCATAATAATTGACAAATTCCAATAAGTAAATTTTAAGAGTTAAACTATCGTCAAACTCTGTCTGAGTACGATTAAGTTCAATCTGAAAATATAATACTTTGTTTCAAAACTAATGTTGTTTATTTAATAATATTGTTTATTATTAAACAGTGTAAAACTCTTTAAAAATATTTCAATATAATTTGTTTGAAACACAAATTACCTCTGTTAAATATTCTGCCAACCAAACATACATCCAATTAAACACAATAATGCAACAGAGATTGATAGTTGCAGCAGTAGCAGTAGTAAACAATATGGCATAACTGTTTATCATTGGATGCCCAGAAATACTTAATGCAGTTAGAACAGACATTCTGTATAAAACTACCCCAAGTACCGCAGCCATGGCTACAGCTATCTATAAAGTTATACAAGAACACGCGTAATGATGATAACATAACAATAATTTCGACTCTTAATGTAATTAGATACTTTGACGTACCAAAAGTAAAACAACTGAAAAACTGAGAATTGTGGCAGGTAATCGCATCTTCCAATATGGCACCTTTGGCTCCTCTGTGTTAGTAATAATGTTGATAGATTTTTTTTTTATATGTGCAAGTCGTGCTAAGTACTGTGGCCTAGGAAATTCTTCTTGAGCATCTAAACCAGTCACATCCCACCTGTGTGTTATTTCAGCGGAATATTTCTTCCATAATTCAAGGAACAATGTAGCTACAAATTGTACGATATCATATATGTGTATATATAAAATTATTTGCACCATATATACAACTATATGTAAATATTTTGTTGTTATAATTTAACATACCCCACAGTGACATAAATATAGAGAAGAACACTGTGGATGGATTATCGAACAAATATGTAATTCTCGAATGTAAACAAGTCTCCTTCAGGTCCCAATATTCACAAACGCGATCACATAATGGACACATATATATGGTGCCATTGCCATTACAAATATCTTCACTCGGTTCATTGTCATATAAAGTAGCGCAACTGTATATAAAACATAGAAGACCAACAATACTGGCTGGAATCAACATGTGAGTGTAGAATCCCAACCAGGCGAAATAAAGTCCGATCTTCACTCCGAAATACTCTTTTATGTAGTCCAACGGTTGATAATGAAGACATTTTCTCAAACTGGCCCATTCTTTATACAAAAGATATCGCATTGAGTCTGGAGTTTGTAGATTTCCCTAAAAAATAGCACTTCAATTATATCTAGTATGTAAATGTTTAAATAATTATGCTCATTATACTTGTTAAAATTACAGGTAATACTGTTTACTGAATTAAGAAATTAAAATAAACATGTAACTTACATCATGGAGTGGATATGCAGCAACATATGCACTTTCGGATATCAATCTTTCGATGCCAAATGCAAAATCATCTTCCTTAGTATCGGTGAATTTAGTTCTGTCTAATATAAACTGTACAATGCGCGATCGAGTTGCAGATGTAAACAAATTGGGCGAATCCAAATCAAATAAATATTCTTTATCTCTACTGTATACTGCTGTGAAGTTCTGCTTCTTTGTTGGAAAAATGGTTGTGTCGACATAATACTTGGTCATAATTCGACGAAAAAATGAATTGACTTTTGTGATAATATTGCTATTTGGCTCGGGCATCTTGCAACCGGAAAATTCCCTCATTGGCAGTCTGAGTTTCAGTATTTCAGCGTATCGTCGCAGCACTTCTTTTGGTGCGTGAACTTTTATAAAATGCAAACCGTTTGATTCTGCTTGCTCATATTCTAATTCTACTCCTTCCTTCATTAAATTTTTTTCAAATATCTGAGAACATCAACAAGTAATATACATCATAATATATATATATAATATACGAATGTATATTATGTTATTCAAGCGATATAGACTTACTCTTCTGTGCTCAACACTACGATAAGTTTGTGCTTCTCCACAATACTCATCCCATACAAGTACAAAATCAACTGAGCGTATTTCATCATGAAAAAATAAACTGTACTTCGTACTGGAATGAGAAAACTGTAATATCAAAATATTACATCAACATCTTCTCAATATATTATTTGTTTTACCAAAAGATTTTATAGAAAATTTAAGAATATTAAACAATATGAATTTTTACCAATCTTGAATCATGTACATTATTTCTTGTATCTGTATAGGAACCATCTATAATTGTTTCGTGTGTTTCATTATTTATAGTAGAGGAATCATCTGTATGTGTAGATTGAAGATTATCCACAGAAACAGCACTGTGCATACTGTCCATACTTATGGCATCGTCATATATGGTATTACGAACACTCTGATAGAAAGTTTGACTCGAATCTTGACTTATACTGTTTCGTGCAGAATGATATAAGCTCAATCCAGGAACACTGCTTTTTCGTTGTTGAACGCTTGTAAGAGAAACTTCTTCATCATCTTCTTCCATTGTTTAAAGCAATCATGGAATTTTAAGTCCTTTTTGAAAGCAAAGCAAGATATACATCATGCAAACTCAAAGAAACTGAAGAGTAATTCAACAATATATCGATTAACTCGAGATTAATGAAATGTATCTACTAAAATCTTATCAAACAATTTTTTACAATAAAAAAAAAAAAGTTTAGTTTATGATAATAAGTAAACAAGATAAACGACTATCGCTATTTTTTAACACGTGATCTCAAACAATGCGAGCATAAGCTCATCGGTTATAAATAAATTGTCAGGTATACGTTTCTTTTTACGTGCTACTCAGAAACTAACCAGACTTGTGGCACATTTAACATGTTATAAAAAAAGAATCTAAAATCTGTGACATTCTCCACATTCTTGCTCCAAAAGCTGCTTTCCGCATTGCAAATCAAAGAAAAACGCAAATAAAAACAATTGCATTAAACAAATACACAAATTTCCAAGTTAAACGAGCACTCTAACACGTTCAATTTGCAATAGCGAAAGTAGAAAAAAGCAATTTCATAAACATCAAAAACTGTCGAACAACATTTCTCAAAACTCTGCACTCGTTTATTTTTATTAATGTTATTGCGAAGAAATCATTGTGCGTGTTCTCTTACCTGTTATTACTCATATGTTCTCTTGAATACACATAATTGTCGAATAAGTTTTTGTCTAGTTTAGGAAGACTGCAAATGAATCATTCTTAATTTGAATTTGATCGTTAAGTACTATCAAAAATTCAAGGCAAATTCCATGATTAATCACAAACTCGCTTCTGTAACTTGTACTTTGAACAACACATTCACTTCACTAAATATCGGTGACAGACGTATTCATTGACAAAAGGTCCGTTCACATTGGCCACGTTCAGCAAATTGCTGAGTTGTAAGGTTTGTTTATTTATTTTTTTTTTTTTCTGCACTAGCTGCACTAGTTCAGTCTATCTTTTTCCTTCTAATATAGATAAAAAAAGATAAACTGTGAACTGAAGCGTAGCCAGTTCAGGAAAATAAAACAAATCTGCAATCAACACTCTACGTTGATTGGTTCTAAGTACGAGCCAATCACATTCGATTACTAAAAAGCAGCAAGTTATACTGAACGCAGCCATTTTCTTTGCACTGAAGCAAAGCCACAGACTTCTCTATAATTTTATTTATTACACACATATATATACATACATGTTATTTGTTAACGTTAGATATTTAGTAAATGGCCAATACGTTTTGAGAAGAAAATTGAAAAGAAGAGTAGTTACATTATCGACACGACGTAGTTGCGAACAACCAATTGCTACTATTTAGTTCGTACGGCGCTCGTTGGCGCTACGAGCAACCG